TTATAAACACATAAAATATATTCCATTAACAGTAATTTATTACTGTGGGCTTACGATTAGGTTTCCACTTTTCTACAGCAACTACTAGTCATATTCCAAGCCCAAAAAGTCATATTCCATTATTTTAATTTAGAGAAAATTGCACCCCTTAACCATTAAGGCCCATAATGCAATAACGGCCCAGTTGTTTCAGCAATACTTTAGCTTTTAACTCCCACATCCAAAGCACAAAGAAAGGAATTCAGATTTTTATATGACTCCACAACCCTCACTGTACAAAAGAAACAATTGGACCATCAGTCCGCTCGAACTGTTCATGGTTGTTTTTTAGTCTATTTTGTACCCCGACGGTTTCATATCTCAAGCCGCACCGGTATATAGGCCGGTTCTCGGTTTTTTCGGAGAGGACCTGACGTCACAACCTCCATCAATTCGCTGTTCATGGTCGGTTTATAGCCTGTTTTGGACCCCAACTGTTTCATACCTCAAGTCGGACCGGTATATAGCCCGGTTCTCGGTCGAACTGGCCGGTCCGTCCAGTACTTAGTCTGTTTTGGACCCCGACGGTTTCATACCTCAAGCCGTACCGGTATATAGGCCGTCCGGTACTTAGTCTGTTTTTTCCCCGACGGTTTCATGAATCATACCTCAAGCCAGACCGGTATATAGGCCGATGCTCGGTTTAATCGGTCGAACCGGCCGGTCTGTCCGGTACTGCAAAGTTAGTACTTAGTAGATATTTCGATGTTCACATGCACTTCTAAAATTGGGGTGGCATTAATTTGGGTCTAAGTCACTTTTTAGATGAAGTTTTCCACAAAGGATCGTAAATAACCAAAAAAAGATTATGTAAACATGTGCTTAGATTTGATGGTTTTCAAGTGTAAAACCAAAACTTGAGTTTGAGGGGGGACCAACCAAAGAAATTAATACAGAGAGGAGAGAGAGATTCTTGTAATGAGAGAGAGAGAGAGATATGGCAATTGCAATTGCATTAATTAATGCCTGGTGTGGCCCATATTACTAAACCACACTACACTACATATAGATTTCTTATCAAATTAAATTTACCTCAAACGAGCGGGCATTAATTGTTGGGCTCACCACCCACGACTATGACACGTGGACCACTTTCTATATTGGGAAAGTTTACCTTAAAGGGAGTCACGTCCAGTTGGAGAATGTGGGGCCACCAATAATGAATGAGTATGACCCTCCTCCCTCGTCATCTCAACTATTTAATTGCATGAATAAAAAAAAATATATTTATAAAATTATTTTTTATTTAAATACTACCTCCTTTTCTAAATAAATGTCGTTTTGACTTTTTTGATTCATCCATTTTGCTATGTATCTAGACATTAATATGTCTAGATACATAGCAAAATGGATGAATCAAAAAAGTCAAAACGACATTTATTTAAAAAAGGAGGGAGTACATATATGCATGGTGCAAATATATCATTCCATCCATCAGGGAGCCTCCTACTTGTCTTTACTCATAAATGTACTACTGATGGAGTGATTTTTTGTAAGTATATTACACACAACATAACATACACACAAATACATTCTTGTTAGCTTCCCTTTGGATATCATCATGATACTTTTTTTTTATGTATTTTTTCTTTCATTTTAAAACTCACTAGTTATTATAATTTATTTTTTAATAAATTAATTATGAAAAGTGAAATATATCCCACCAATTACCTCTAACTATCAAATTTAATTTATCATACATTTGCAATCATAATTTTTTCTTCCATCTGATCCCGTTTTGAAATTTGAGGGCGACATTATGATCCGAGAGACCCGACGAAGAATATCAGTCAAAAAGTTGATTTTTTATCTTCAAATATTTAAACCAATTCACATGCTCATGCCAGGGGCCATAAATGTGTTGCTATTATAGTTTTTTGCCAATAATTTATTGCCTTAGACCTACATGGGTTGCTTTTATGAATTTGTTCAATGTTTTGCTATTTTGGACCTGAATTTAATGGTGTCCAATCTATTATTTGTACATTATGATGCTATTCTTCGTTGGGTTTTGCTTGGATGAGTGTTCTGGTTTGGCAATTTTTCGGTAATGAATGCGATGGTATTCTCTCTCTTTTTTTCCTTTTTATTTTATTTTAATATTTAGCAATTGAATAATGTTTTACTTCATCAAATGCTATTGTAGGTTGTTTACAGTTGTGTAGCCATGTAATGTAGGGGACTCTTTCTGTCTTTTATTTCACCTTGTAGATCTGTAAATCCAAGGGTTCTTTTGCGTCTGGGTTGGAAGCAGTGCTACTACCGTGTGTTTTGGCACACCTAACAAGGTGTGCCAAGGCAGTTTAAAATGAACATGTGTAAACAAGTTTACACATGTTCATTTTATAGAGTAATATGTTCATTTTAATAAAGTCTTGACACACCTTGCTAGGTGTGCCAGGGTGCACCTAAGTATTTGCGAGGTTGGAAGTTTTAGTTTATGGTACACTATTTTGGATTATTAATATGATGCCGTTTCTGGAAAAAAAAAAGAAAAAAAAGAAAAAGAAAAAAGCCATGTAATGTAGGGGACTCAATTTTTTATCCATGTAAATCGACCTAAAACTTATTTGTCACATTATAGGTAGGCACTAATTGTGGTCCCTAAAGTTAGACTTCACTATTAAATGACATATGGTAATAGGGTGGAATTGATTAAATTCTAAATTTAATTAGTCAAACTATTTAACTAAACATGTACGTACTTATTTGTTTGGACTAAAATTATTTAGTCAAGGGAATGAATATTTAAATCTACTCATATTGTTTGCAATGCAATGTGAGTTTTTACTTCATTTGTGTAGAGAAACAAAAAAAAAAATAAATAAAAATAAACCATGAAAGAAAAAAAAAACACAGAAAACTGATATTGATTAAATCGGTTTGGTTTCAATAGTAAATTGACCAACCTAGACCTATTATTTAAACCGAGGTGTTCGCATTTAGACGATTACGCACGAAAGCTCGAATTCTACTTATTTGTTTACTTGAAAGAATCAAACTCGACACAATTAATCAAACATGTTATTGAACATGTCGAGCTGAGTTTAACCGCGAACAACTTGTTTATTACTTTGTTTGTTTATATTATTTATAGATTTCAAACATATGGTTAAACTGAGTGTTCACCAACACATTTATAATTTCGTGTTTATTAAACGAGTCGATCTAAACTCTTATGATTTTTTAAACTCTTACGATTTTTTAAACGAATCGAACTTGAGGCAAATCTTTGAATCGCTTATTAATAAAAAGTACGAAATCGAACATGAAGTACTCGACTCAGCTCTACTCAAATACCATTCACAGCTAAATCAATAACATAAAAGAAAACATAATCATTAATATGTCAATATATTTAAGTAAATATGTCTAAGCCATACATTAAATATCATAAACAAAAAAGTACAACTAAAATATGAAATT